GTTTCAATACGAATTACAGCATTATGGCGCACGCCTGTAGTCCCCACACTTCGGAGGCAGAAGCAGGAGGGTCACAAGTTAACGCCGCCACTCTTGGCTACATAGCACACTCAAGGCCAGTCTGGGTACATGTCTCAGAGGAAAAGCTGTGTGCATGTTTACTAAACAAACTCACCTTGCTTGAGCATCACGTTACCACATTTAGTGACTGCAATTTTAGTGTTGTCGATAGGGCCTGGGGGATCTAAATCAAAAGGATAAAAGAATTATAGAATGCACACTTTAAAGAAATGCTGCAAAGAACTACATCATTTTATAGCTGAAATAATTGAGAACTACCAATATAATCAAGGTAGATATTTTTTAACCAAATACCATCTATTTCAAGTATCTTCTCAGCTTTGGGGGTTCCATTTGACCCAAAACAACCAAGAAAGGTGAGAGGTTACTCAGCACCAAAATCTAACAGAAAAAATTTCTTAACTGCTCATTTGGGAATTGCAGATCAAATATTTTTTAATGCTACAAAAGAACAACCCCTTTATAAAAAAAAAATCGTATTCTCAGTTCCAAATTTGTTATTTAAACCAAAATCACTATAAAATGAAATATTCAAAAGCCTTTTTTTTCTGAACATGAAAGTATAATACTTGTCCATCCTCAAAACCTCCCAACAGGCACAAGGAAGAAAAATTACTAAAATCTTACAGAAAAGTAGGCATATGGTTTTAATATCTGTGTGGTCTTTTGCTTTTGCACAATACATTGTTTAAGAAAATTGTTGAAGAGGGCAGTCGGGAAGGACTAATAAGAACAAAGAATAATGCCATATATGTTTGAAAATGCCATAATCAATTAAGTCCATCACTTCGTTTGCTAACTTGAAAAATAGACCAAAGGATTCAAATACATACTTTTTTGCAATCAACTCAATACTTCAAGAACACTTTATTTTCAAATTATTAATAGTAGTAGTATTGAAATAGATTCTCACTACATGGTCCTGGCTGGCCTGAAACTGGCTATGTAGAAGAGGCTGGCCTTAACTCCTCAGGTATCCCTGCCTCTGTCGGCCCCAGCGCTAGGATTAAAGGTGTGCACCATCATGCCTTCTACTCAAATTATCATACATAACTATTTTAAAAAGTCCACATTGTGTTCCATTGTATTGATAAATTATAATTTACTCACCATCCTGTTGTATGGTATTTTAAGTTTTTTCTTTCTTTTTTTGAGGGGGTGGTCTTTTTGAGATGAAGTCTCTCTTACACAGCGCTTACTATGTGGACCAGGCCGGCTTTGAACTCACAAATAACCCCTGCCTCTAAAGTTTTTCAGCATTAAGATTATTTTTATTTATGTATCTGTGTGTATGGGATGTCTGGGCCAGTGGAGACTAGAGAGTGCCAGATCCCCTGGAGCTGGAGTTACAGGTGATGAGCTGACTGATGGAGATGCTGAAAGATAAACTCAGGTCCTCCAGAGGAGCAACAAGTGCTCTTAACTGCCAAGCCATCTCTTTAGCCACTGGTATTAAAATTAAAGACAATTTTTGTTCAATTCTTTCATTCTTGCCATGAGTAATAATTATAATCTCACAGTAATAAGACTATAAACTAGAATATAAGTTCCCTGAAGTCATGGGTCTTTTTTGTTCACTGGTATAATCTCCAATATTCATAAAATTAATAAACAAAAAATGACTAAGAAACCATTTCAGTTAACCACTTACCTCCATCCTTACCCTTCACAAAACTCTCCCATTCTCTAAACCACTGCATACTGATACAATAAAAAGTAGCCGGAGAGTCCTCCTCTTGAAATGCTCTGTTGAGCTACAGAGAGAAAAAGTCAAGCACCTAGTATCTGGAACTTGGGATATTCTCCTCCAGCATCTAACAAGATAATTTCTCATACACACATGAGGTACCACTAAGTGACACACTAGGCTATCTTAGTTCAAAGAGACAGAGTGTAGTCTATCAATAAATGACTCTGGATTATGTGTCAAAATATAACAAGCACATACAAAAGAGAAACATAAAGAACAGGTTAAAAGAAGATGGCTGAGGCAAAGGATTCAATAAATATTTCATTCACCACAGCCAACTTAAAAAAAAAAAGTAAAGACCAAATGGCTAGAAACATTGGTATGAAAAAAAGGTGCAAGTAACAGGGTCTCAAAAGAATAAAGCGTCTTTGGAATTTGTCTAATTACAGTGGCATTTCCTGTTGGGCAACAAATTGCCCTTGATATATACTAGAAAAGGACAGACATAGCCAAATTCAGATTGCCAGTTCTTTAAAACTTTTAAATTATGTTGGGAGTGGCATGCGTGCTCACACTAGTGATGCCAGTGCAAACTGTAGAGATCAGAAGACAACTTGTAGAATCAGTTCTCTCCTTGTCACTACATGAAACCAGGGGACTGAAGTCAGGTCATCCTCCTTGGCACCAAGGGCCTTTACCCACAGAACCATCTAAACAGACCTGTTTCTTCAATTGCATCTAATGAAAACCCTATAACCTTGGGGGAGAGAAGTACAGATGGAGTTGGAGAGATAGCAGGGAGGTGTTGGTATGATCTAAACTGCATTCATACAAAAAATGATTATCCACAAAGGTTTGCTATGTTCTCCCTCAACTGCCTTCTGTTTGCTAGATAAGTACTTACCACTGAGCTACATTCCTAGTGCCAGTTTTCTTTAAGACAGTTTGATGTCTCTCAGACTGGCCGCAAGCTCACTATGTAACCAAGGATGATCTTAAAGTTGTGATCCTCCTACCTCCCCAGTGCTAGGATTATACACATGTACCACCATGCCAAGTTTACTCAGTTCTAGGGACTGAACCCAGTAGAGCACTAAGGAAGCATTCCACTGCTACATACCTAGCCCCAAAGGTTCTCACTACTGGTTCAGAAGCACTCCCATGGTCTGACTACATCCAGTTCCTTTTTTTCCATGTGTGATCACAGTGACCTTAGTTATTCCCAGAAACCACCCTGGTACATTCCTGATTCTCAGGCTTCTGCAATGATCACACACACACACACACACACACACACACACACACACACACACACACACACACACACACTTTTTACAACTATTTATGTGACTGTCTCCCACATACCCTATAAGGCTTTTTTTAAACTCCACTAGAATAGACCTATCTTAATCACTTTAACTTCTCACACTCTCAAGCTCTTTAAAAACTCTCAACACTTTGTCCTTTCCCATGTCTTTTTTCAAAGGGAGGGGTTAAGAAAACATCTCATATAGCCCAGGAGGCCTTGAAATCCAGACACCTCTGCTTCCACCTCCCAATGGCTGGATTACAGACATGTGCCACGATGCCCAGCTGCTCATGACCCTTTAATATTTTCCAAATTCAAGTATGTTGAGGGAAAGAGTCTTCCTGGGACACTCAGCAGCTACTTACAGAGGAACCATAATACAGGAGAGGAAAATTTCTGGGTCTATGTATGATGGTTCTAAAGAAATCAAGACCTGGGCATGGTGACATATAACCCCAGCACACTGGGGGTAATGCAGGGAGAGCAAATATTCAAAGCTAGCCTAGGGTACAGAGACCCCGTCTCAATAAGAAAGAAACCAAAGCAGGCCAGCACGACGGCTCAGTGAGTAAAGGCACTGGCCTCCAAGCCTGGTGACAGCTGGACCCCTACCATCCATACAGAGGGAGGAGAGCCCCAACTCTCAATTTGTCTCTCACATACTTGAATGTCAAGTCCTCACAGGTGTCTACCACTTCTAAGCCCCAAGGTCCTGTGCTCACTTCATTTCCTCTACTTTTGGTTGCTTCTGCAAACTGATCCTATCTACTTTCCCAAGTTTCCAGAAGCTCCACTTTGTTTCCAGACCACCAAGGTCACCTATTTCTGACCAGGTTGTTTATGATTTATATATGAAATGCCCCTCAAAGGCTATACCTTAGGCTGGCAGCAGAACGGGATTTGATCAACATAATGCTGCTTTGGCATGGTGTAAAATATACCAGGAGACCTAGAAACCGCTATCAAGGTCACAGAAAGCCATGGAGAGAAGGCAATGTGTATCAGGGTCAGATTCCAGATTCCACAGGCCCTAAATGACTAACTGGTGCTTGGTACCCCAGGAAATGCAAGAAATGCAGGATGTTTGCCAGGAAAGCTGGTGGCACTGGGTGCAACCATCCCAAGAAAGGTCATATTTGCCACATGCAGCAGAATATAATACTTCAGATCCATTCATACTGCTGCACAGATTAGTTATCCATGACTGTTCATGGGGGTCGAGATAGGAGACAGTGTCTTGTGTAGCTCAGACTGGCCTCAAACTAGTAGTGTATGGTTGATGATGATGTTGAATTCCTGATCATGCTGCTTCTACCACAGCAGAGCTCCCCAGCAGGCTGTTTGCATTGTTCTTTGAGTCTTCCTAGATAACCAAGGTTGGTCTCAAGTGTTCAGATACAGGTGTGTGCCAGTCCACTTGACTTCTGCTTTCCACTGCTCAACACTGTCCCTCTGTGTGACCCTAAGACATTCTGTTATCAATGTGGCAGCTTTTGAACATTCCACTATTCCCACTTTAGGGCAACTTATAAGCAATACTACTAAAGAGTTTGGTTTATAGGTTTTATGTGAATATAAGTTGTCATTTCTCTTGGGAGCAAGACTGCTTAGAGTCATAAGCTAAGTGTTAAATCTATTAAAACAAAACAAAAACAACCTACCAGGCTAGGTATATAGCTCTGTGGTAAATCATTTACCTAGCATTTTAATCGCTAGCACCACAAAACAAATAAACAAACAAACAAAACCTACCATACTGTTACATCATTTAACATGTGGTCTTTTCAATTCCTGCCATGGAGGAAAGAGGCTCACAAGCCCCATGTCTAGCTGAGGAACTATTGACAACTGATGGATTACGGATAGAGAGAGTTTTCTTTCTTTCTTAATTTCTTTTCTTTTTTTCTTTTTTTTTTTTAGATTTATTTATTATGTATACAGTATTCTGTTTGCATGTTTGCCTACATGCCAGAAGAGGGCATCAGATCTCATTACAGATGCTTGTAAGCTGCCATGTGTTTGCTGGGAATTGAACTCAGGACCTCTGGAAGCCATCAATGCTCTGAACCTCTGAGCAATCTCTCCAGCCTAAGAAAGTTTTCTTTTCTGTAAGGGCATTGTTCCCCAGTAGGAAGACCATACCACAATGGAGAGCCCTACACCCATGAGCATATGAGAAGCAGAAATTGGAATCAGTGGGTTATTTTTTAAAAAGGGTTAGGTGGGTAGTGGTGTATGCCTTTAATCCCAGTCTCAGGAGGTAAAGGCAGCTTTCTAAGAGTTCAAACCAGCCTGGTCCACATAGCGAGTTCCAAGACAGCCAAGACTATATAGTGAGTCCATGTGTTGAGAGAAAGAGAGAAAACAGATGAGGGGTAGGAGTGGACCAGAGAGAAGCAGGGGTAAATATGTTGAAAATACACTGAATGCATGTATGAAGTTCTCAAAGAAAAATCATTGCCACCAGATTTCACTACATTGCTTCTGACTATGGAATTCATTTTATAGAAAGAAGAAAAGGGCTCACATTCATAAAGTTCATTGATCTTACCACATGCTACCACCCAAAAGCTGCGAGCCTATCACAGACTCAATTTTTGTACCTGATAGCAACAGTTTTCAGGCTCCAGAGTACTCTCCGTAATGTGGTGTATGTCCCCAAACTGGAAATGAGTCCCCTGTTTTCCCCATCACTAGAATTTACAATGCTAAACAGTGGGAAAAGATGTAGAAAACCCATTTGCAACTTCCTATACTGACACTAACAAAACCTTTGCTCCCTAATGCCAGAACTCTACCCTCTACTACCTTAGAGGGTTTAGTTTCACAGGGAAAAAGTAGTTTGTATGGGACTGGCCTGGTACAGTCCTTGACTATACTGTGTTTTCCATGTCACTGACCCAACTGGGAAAGAGGAATTAAAGGTTCAAAATACTAGCTAAAATGATTAAGCTCAGGTATGGTGACTGCTTTACAAACCAGAATTATATGAATGACTATTCACAATTGGAGTGAAGAGACTTAGATCCAGAAAACAAGTGACGTTAGGTCGGGGATGCTGGCACATTCCTTTAACCCCAGCACTTAGAAGGAAGAACCAAGCAGATTTCTGTGAGTTTGAAGGCAGCCTAGTCTACATAGCAAGTTCCAGGCCAGCCAAGACTACATAAAGACTTGTCTTAAACCAGGTGGTGGTAGCGAAGCCAGAGGCAGGTGGATCTCTGAGTCGAGGCCAGTCTGGTCTACAGAGTGAGTTCAAGGACAGCCAGGGCTACACAGAAACCATGTCTTAAAAAACAACAACAAAAAGACCTTGTCTTGAACAAATAAAATGAAAGAAATTATACCCATTGCATTTGCTATAGAGTGTTACAATGATAAATGACCACAAACTCGGTAACTGAAAAGGGAAATTTGTTTTCTCACAGTTCTAGAGACAAGCATCCAACATCCAAGTGCTCAGAACACTGTTCCCTGGAGATCTAGAGAGATCCCACTTCTGCCTCCTTCACGGCTAGCTGTCCGTGGCTGTCACTTCAATCTACCCTCCATCCTTCCACAGCATGTTCTTCCTTCTCTGTGTGTCTTGAAAGGAACACTGACTGGATTTAGGTTCTATACAAACTTCTCAGGATGATTTCAACCCAAAATCCTACGAAAAGATTCTATTCAAGGCCACATTTGTCATTGAGGTCAGTTTACAAAAGGCACAAGATAGGAAATTCTTTTAGGATCCAACATTCAAATGACTACAGATACTATTCAGTATTTCTACAATCTTCAAGCAGAGGTTAAAACTTAACCTTACAGAAATCTAACAACTAAGACTATTGAGAATTGAGGGTCCAGACCCTTTGAGAATAAAGGTGCAGGTTCCTTCAGCAATCAACAGCCATAATCAGCTGCAGCCTGAACAGACCACAGACAACTCTAATGAGGAAACATGCAATTTGGGGAATAAGATTTCAGGCCATGGCAAATACAGAGAAGAGAGAAAAGCAGCCACAGGAAGAAGAGAACAGAACTGGAGAGAACCGAGCAGGGTCCATCACGCTGTGCAGGCAGGACCTGACTCCCACAGAACTGGAGAGAACCGAGCAGGGGCCATCACGCTGTGCAGGCAGGACCTGACTCCCACAGAACTGGAGAGAACCGAGCAGGGGCCATCACACTGTGCAGGCAGGACCTGACTCCCACTACGGCTCTCTCTCACCCATTGTCCGCTAACGACTGTTGGGCCGCCGTCTCTATCTTACATCATTTACAATTTGAAAGTGTAACTTATTTACCCGAATAAAGATTTCCAGTTCCGTTTTTCTTCGTTTTTCAATCTTCTCTGCCTCTATCTGGCAAGTGTGACAGATGTACAGGTGGTTGACAGCGGGCCCTCCTCCATACCTAAACACCAAGTTAAGACTGAAAGTCACAACCGCAGAAGAGGCCCAGGTCCTAGGAAACCGTTTCTAGCTTTTTAATCAATGTTTAAATTGCCAGTTACAAATCAATCCCGGGGCTGGCAAGATGGCTCAGTGGGTCTTAAAATAAGTTAAGTTCTGAGTTTGTTCCTCAGGACTCACATGACAGAATCAGAACTGTCTCCTTCAAATTGTCATAGCATGAACACACATACACAAAATTACTTTTAAACAATAATAAAAATTTAAAGAATAAATTCTACAGGAAAATTCTCAAAGTAATATACAAAAAAAGTCACATAGAAACAATTTCCGTTTACCAGGGCAGACAGCACTGTCAATGTGTCTCCCCCCTGCTGTATCTGCACTTCAACTCTCAGAGCTGCTTCTGCTTCAGTCTTAGAAGTGACAACAACGTGAAAGGGTTCAAACCTTAGCACAAAACCGTCTTAGTTATGTGAGCACATTTTAACCAGATGAAGTCTTTGCATACTCAAGTAAAAAGCACTTAGTGCATTTTTAGTATTTAATTTAAAATACTTAGAAAGGAAAATAACATTTAAAAATTTTAAATTTGGGAATAAGAACATCTCTTTTAATAGTGTACAATTATGAGAAATTTTAGTATTAGGGAGATGTAACATCCTTCAAATAAGATACATAAAGTTATATACTACAGCACATCTTACAGATAATCATAAAAATTCCCATTATTTAGACTAGGGCCTAAAAGTCTTCCTGCTCATACTTTAGAATGAATAAATTAAAGGAATATTCTTCACAGGCATCAAAAAACACACTGGGTATTTGTGACACAGCCCAACACTTTTGTAACTACTCTCAGTTTGTTTTATGATACTATAATGTTGGATTTCAAGAACAAACCTGCTATAGAGGTTATCCCAAATATTCTGAGGCAGCATCAAAACTAAGTCTTCAATATAACTAGCTTTTCGTGGAGGAATACCTAAAAAACAATTTTAACAAGTGTACTTAATTTTCACTCCTTAATTTCTTTGTATGACTTTAAAGGGCTAACTTTGCAGTGCTAAAGACTAAATCAGGAGCTTACAGAAGTAAGGTGAACATTCTCTCACACATAAAGTCTTTTTTTTTTTTGCTTTTTTTGAGACAGGGTTTCTTCGTGCAGTCCTAGCTGTCCTGGAACTCTCTCTGTAGACCAGGCTGGACTCAAACTCAAAGAGATCCACCTGCCTCTGCCTTCAGAGTGCTGAGATTAAAGGTATGTGTCACCACCACCCAGCACATAAAGTCATTTTTAAAGGTGACTGGCCATTTCTCCCACACACACACCTCTCTTTTTTAGATAGGGTCTTACTCTATAGCCCAGCTTAGCCTCCAACTCACAGCAAGTCTTTTTCATCAGACTCTCAAATAGTGGGATTACAGGAGTATACCACCATCCCTGGCTTTCAATCACTGTTCTTAAATCTCTCCTTACAAAAGCAGAAGTAAAAAGCATTTTTGGTAACTCTGCTTCCTAAAGATGAGCACAGCATACATCTTGAAATACACGTTCAGGATTACTGATTGATTTGGCAGCACTAGGGTTTGAGACCAGGACCCTGTGCAAACCAAGCATGTGCTCAATCACTGACCAGCACCATCAGACTTAGAAATAAAATAACTGTAGGTTTCTACCAACAATACAGGGTATTCTCACCCCTGTATTTTCATTACAAAAATAATTAACAATAGCAAATCTCCAACCATAAAGTTCAATCAAAGTGTCCACACAAAGGTCTTACTTATTACTGCAGGAATAGACAGTAATAGCCCATCAATCACATTTCACAAATCCCACATATGCTTGCATACCTTAAAAAGGCAGCTACTCATGAGAGACAGACAGCTGAGAACTGCAGATGCAGGTGGAGCTAAACACACTGCACAGGAACGGCCCTCACCAGGAGAAGTGTCCAAGTGTCTGGCACGGGCATGAAATTAAAGCTTTCACAACACTGAAATAGTCTTTGGTCTTCTAAAGTGAAACCTAGCCCTCATTTCTGAAACCATAAGGAATCACATACACTCAGCTCCAGATGGGAATGAGCAACAAGGAGAAGAGGGAATTCTTGGCTCCTAACTAATTTGCAAATGATTTAACAGCAACCATCTAACACTGTTTAGCATAACAGTACTCCTTACCTCCGTGAATACAGAGAAAGTCATTATTTGAAATAGGGCCAGGCTCAGCAAAGGTCTTGAATTTATTTAACCACTGTCGAGATATGTAAAACTGGAGGAGGCTGGGCTCCATCATGTTCAACAGGTTGGACACCCTTCGCCTCTCCTTCTGTGCCTCTTCACTGCTCTTCCTGGTGAGGACATGATTCATCGAAGTTAATCCACATTTTACTACATTCAACAAACAGCATGACTCTTCTCTTCTTTATTAGATTTAAAATGCATGCTACTAATTACTACGGATCTTACCAGTCCTAAGGAATTTCAAGAGAAATAGTCTTTGACCCACAGCTCAATACACTATACATTACCCTGGGGGTTAATACTGAATTGTAACTATGGGTATCCATGTAACAACTGGTACAAGGTAGGCATTCATTGTTAATAAGATCAAGTCAAGTAGCTAAGCTGCATTCTTGGTTCCTGTTTCAGTATCTGGCATCTTCTTTTATAAGATACTGAAGTATATCAAAGATTTTTATAGTAATACCTTTTTTTACTATTGGATATCTAGAGAAGAAATTTGGTATTTAATTCTAACTTTATATACTTTAAAAAAAACAACAACAACAACAACAAACAAAAAAACTAATCCTGGGCCAGTGAGATGTTCAGCAGGTAAGCGTGCTTGCCACCAAATCAGAGGACCTGAGTTTAATCCCAGAACCCACATGGTGGAAGAACCAATTCCTGGAGTTGTTCTCTGACCCCACAAACAAACTTTAGTGCACATACACAGGCACATACATGCATACACACATAAATAAATAAATGCTAAAGAAAGAAATGAGGGGCTGGAGAGATAGCTCAGCAGTTAAGAGCACTTGTTGTTCTTGCAGAGGACCTGGGTTAGATTCCCAGAACCCACATGGTGACTCACAACCATCTATAACTCCGGTTAGATGCCTCCTATGACCTCCTCTGGTATCAGGCACACATGTGGTGCACAGAGATACATACATACAAAATACCCATATACATAAAATAAATAAATTTAAGTGAACCTTTAAAAAAACAAGTGCTTAAAAAAAATCTAAAACAAAATATATCCTGCTGTGGAATAATCCTCTTGTACACTGTAAAGATTTGTCACTCAAATTAGTTTAATAAAAACGCTGATTGGCCAGGAATTAGGCAGAAGTATAGGTGGGGCAACTAAGAATGATGGGAAAGAGATGGGCAGAGTCAGGAGTCACCAGTCAGATGCAGGTGGAGCAGGAGATGAATGTGCCATGCTAATGAAGATACCGACACGTAATAAGGAATATGGGTTAACTTAAGTGTAAGAGTTATCTATAACAAGCCTGAGCTATTGGCAGAGCATTTATAATTAATATAAGCCTGTGTGGTAATTTGAGAATCAGCTATTGGGTATTTGGAAGTTGCTGGCCTGACAGAAACTTCTGTCTACAATACCCCTTTGCAGGACAGAAACTTCCACCCACAATATCCCTTTGCCTGTCTATGAATCTTGGATTTTCTGAACAGAAGATCATTCTGTGAACAGCTTTTTTATCTTACTCCTAGGAGTACATTTCTTATCCTCACTCATAAACCCTGCAGGTCTCAGAAGTGCAGATCCCTACAAAGAGATGTTCTTCACAGTGTCATGACAGTTCCCCCATCACCTATAAAAAAGGACGTAGGCCTCAGCATTCTGTACAGTGGACTCTGAAACTTCAGTGACGCTCTGGTCATCAAATTCATACCACAGGTTATTTAAATTGTTGCGGCAGTAGGCGATGTAGTGCCCACCTGTATTACAAGGAAAAGAGCTCGTTAGGGTGCTACATGTCACACCTACACAGCATCTGTGATCTCACTGGGTCATTCTGCACTCAGCACTACCACTGGAAGACAGGAAGGGCAAGAATTTTAATTTTTTATTCTGGTTTTGAGATAAGGTCTCACTATTGTAGCCCAGGTTGGTCATGAACTGACAATCCTCCCACCTCAGCTACCCAAGTGCTGCAAATACAAGTGTGCTCTGCCATGTACAAAACCCACCCTGTTAAAGCTGTTACCATTTGCCCTTATGACTAATTTCTCTTACTCTAAATATTCTAAGGAAGATATTTAGTGTCTTAAAACTTAACGTCACAAATGTACATAATAACTGTACATATTTATGGGGCAGAAGTTCATAATTAGGGCAACTAATGTAATTTTTACCTTAAACTTGGGGGAGTGTTTTGTTTGACAGTCTCTGCTACTCAGGTGGCCCTGAACTTAGCAGGCATTCAATGTTTGCCAATAAGATCAAGTTAGATAGCTAATCTGTATTCCTGGTACCTTTTTCAAGCAGCTGGCTTTTTTAGGGCCTTGAATTCCTAATCATCCTGCTTTGGCCGCAAGTACTGCAATGATAGGCATGTGCCCCCACAACCAGCTGTTTTCCTAACCTTTATTATTCCCTTGTATGAAGTCTGTCATTTTTCTAATAAGAAGGACTAAAATCTGTTTTTAAATTTTTCTTCCCTTGGTCAAGCAGTGCTTATTTGAGCAATCAACTCAGATACATTTTTTAATCAAGATCAGATGTCAAGTCTTTGTACTCACTGCTCGCAGTCCCATGGTGACAGATGACGGAGAGGAGGTCGTATGTCACGATCTGAACTGGGCTGTCCTTTGCGAGGAACGGCTGAAGATCCAGGCCTTCCAGAGGGAAGGAAACGTGGGTGCTGATTTTGGTAG